CACCCCCAAGTCCCCCTCACAGCACCCAACCATCGCCCCCCAGACCCTACAGCAGCTCCCCTGGTCCCATTTACCTCCTCCAGCTTCACCGAGTCACATTTGTGCAGCCCACCAAGACCCCTCCAGTGCCCCCCAGCCCCAAAGGGACATGGATGCCTGTTCCCACAGCTCCAGTGACAAGCAGAGACCACTCCTGGACTGTTAACCCCCTAAAAAGTGTGGGAAGGGCTTCCAGGAGTAAAGGGCTGGGAGATGGGGCGAGTGGAGGTCCCCAGAACCACCCCTTGGCTCAGAAGAAAGCAGAAGCGAGGGGTCTCAGCCCCACCCAGCTCCCACATGTGGGCTTCAAGCCTTAATTGAACTCATTTTTGGAGTCAGCTGTTGGTGGCTGCTGTCAGGGACATTTTTGGTGTCTCTCCCGTCCCTCTGCAGACTTGTTTACGTTCATGGCCTCAACAACTTCCCACAGCAATGAATTCTTCAGTTTAATTAAACATTGTGAGAAAAAGCACTTCCTCTTATCAGGTTTGGATCTCCTGCCCTGTCAAGCCTGGTGCTGGAAGCTGGAGGGTCTCCACATCCCAATTTTACCACCTCTGGAGGGGAAGGGGGTGAAATCCTCGGGTGAGATCCAAGACCTCGTGGCTGTGGCACTGAAAACTTTGGCTGGTGGTTTGTTCCAGCTCGTCAGGAGCTCGTCCGGGTTCTCTGCTCTCACGCTGGACACATCAAGATGAGATGGTGAAAAATGCCTGCTGACTTTGGGCTGCTATCTGAGATCTTCTGCAATTTTGGCTTGGCTGGGGCAGCTCCTGTAATTCTCGTGGAGCGCCTTGAGGAATTACAAATGACTCGGAGGGAAAGAACCTGATTTTAAAAGAATTCCTGTGGTCCAAACAAATACACATTTCCCTGTTGCTATTAATATCTCAGACCTTGATCTCCCTCCAAACCCTCCTGCGTGTGTTTAACAGCTTGCAAACGAGCGGTGCCTTTGATTCCAGAGTGGGAACGTTTGCTGCAATTGGGAATTATTAAAGGTGAACCATGCTTTCAAACACAACGTGCTGACCACGTTTTCCAGCCTGCTTTATTGCCTTCCTGGTGTTTCTCTGAACCTGGCAATGAAAAATCCATTTCCAAGTTTGGAGGGGAGGTTTGGAGTGGAGTAATTCTTGGTTTATGCTTTGGGCACAAACTCAATCCTTTTTTCTCGGTGTGATTTCTAGTGGAATAAGACAAACCTTTCTGTCTGCTGCTCTCAGAAGCCTTTTCTTTTGCACACCCACTTTTACAGATCTCTACTCTGCCCTAGTGAGGCCACCTCTGAAGTATTGGGTCCAGTTCTGGGCTCCCCAGTTCAGGAGAGACAAGAAACTACTGGAAAGAGCCCAGTGGAGGCTACAAAGCTGCTGAGGGGCTGGAGCATCTCTGTGCCAGGACAGGCTGAGAGCCCTGGGGCTGTTCAGCTGGAGAGGAGAAGCCTCAGAGGGGATCTGATCAATGCTGAGCAAGAGCTAAAGGGCCCCGGGGGGCAAGAGGCTGGGGCCAGACTCTGGTCAGTGGTGCCCAGGGACAGGACAAGGGGCAACGGGCACCAACTGGAACCCAGGAGGTGCCACCTGAGCAGGAGGAGAAACTTCTTTGGGGTGAGGGTGCAGAGCCTGGAGCAGCTGCCCAGAGAGGCTGTGGAGTCTCCTGCTCTGGAGAGATCCCAAACCTGCCTGGCTGTGACCCTGGGCACCCTGCTGTGGGGGAGCTGCTGGAGCAGGGGGGTGGATGGGATGATCTCCAGAGGTCCCTCCCAACCCCACCATGCTGGATTTTGTGACCTCTCCTTTGGGCCCTGTCCAAGCTCCCTGCTCTCTCTGCAGCAGTGGTGTCAGTTCAAAGGAATTGCTGCATTTGCTGCCATCTAATGGGAGAATTCAGCTCGGCCACCTCGACTCTATTTTGCAAGCAAATCAAAAGGTTTTCCTGCACACTCGTGCTGCCACTGTGCAAAGCAGCATCTTCTGCACATCATCCCAGTAAAATTAGGCAAGGGGAAAAGCTGGTCTGATGGTTGGCTCTGCGTGGCCTGACAGAGATGGAAACTGGTGTAGAACCAGTAAAAAGCAGCTTTTTGAGTTGCTCAGGCTGAAACAGTATTTCTCATGGACCAGACTTACAAAGTGTGCTTAGATTTATATTATTTTAAGATAAAATAGCAAAGCAGAAGTCATAAAGATGGGACTCTCCTGCCCCCCAACACGACATTATTACATATCCAAATCCCAAATCCAGACACAGCTCTGAACTGAACCTTCTGAACTCTGCCTGCTGAGCTGTGGTCTTCAGGCTGCTCCCACTGATCCATCAGTAAAAATATTTTCTAATGAAGAAGTTGACATGGAATAGGAGCATAAATACATAGTGCTAAGAAAAGAGCCTTTTAATGCTAGAGCCAAGGGAGGATGGTTTGTGGCATGGGAAGACACTTATGGGATGGGAGCTAGAGTGGTCCAGAGCTGCTGGGGCACTGAGGTGGGGCATGTAGAGGAAACCATCTCTGAAAGACTCAGGAATTCCTACACCACTGCAAAGCTGCACCCTACCTGGTGAAGCTCATAACCCATCTTTTTCTGAGCGTGGTCTCTGGTCATCTCCATCTGCAAATGAACAATTTCTACCAAGTGATTTTGGGTATCTCACAGAGCTGGTCCCATTTAAGGGGTAGCTCTGTGAGCAGCAGACCCAAGAACATCTGCTCTCCCCTGGCTCTCAGTGTTGAAGGTCTCTCCCATGGAGATTTGTCATTGTCTGATAAAGATTAAACTTAAACTGCAATTTTTCCATCAACAGGGCTGCTAATTAGCTGCAGTTTTCAGGCCTTTACTCACACAGAAGTCACAACACCTCACAGCTGCAATCACTACCTGTCAGGGACTGCTAAAAACAGCCCATGGACTTTAAAAAACAAATGATCTTAAAGGTCTTTTCCAGCCTAACCAATTCTATGATTCCAAAGCTATTTGAAAAAGGGAAAGATAAAAGTGCATTTAGGGTGTACTGCATATTTCATTGTTCCCAATCAAATCTGATGGGGCTGTAAAGCCAGAGAGAAAGTCACAGCAGCACTGACAGCCCTAAACCCCCTGGTTTTATACACCAGCCCTCAGGTGACTCCTGGGATTCATGTCTTTGATCCCAACACTTGGGTTTGCTCCCTGCTGCTTCCAGTATCATTCCAGCATCTTAGATCTAGCCAGGTTCCCTTTCTGCCTCTTTCCTTCACGTGTTTTTTGTCACCAAAGCTTCCCAGGGCATATTTCAGGAGGGCTTGTGTGCTCTGGGGTCACAGCAGGAGGGGAGCAGGGGAGGGGTGGGTGACAGCCAGCTCCTCTCCAGTGGCTTTTGCCTTCAGCATCCAGGGGAGACACGTGGGGAGTGGAGATGGTGGCTGGGAGCTATTCTTACACTTTTCTGGCCCCTGTTTCCATTTCAGCTCACAGCAAGGGGAATCTGTCCATCACCAACAGCAGCCCTTTTTCTTCTGGGGTGGCTTTGGGACCTCTTCTACCTCATTTTTAAATGTATCTTCACGATCTTTGAGCAACCTAAGAGAAAAAGAAGGAAATGAGCCAGGTATTTTCCCCCCATATTTTGCATTTCTGTGCCATTTCTCTTGACAAGCATCAGTAAAGAAGGCTCAGCACAGCTCCAACCTAAATGGAATCACAGCCAGAATTCATTTCAGTGAACCCAGGGAGAAATCAGCAGTGTCCTGAGGAGGGTTTTAGTCATCTCCTTGCGATGTTGACTAGTCAGGAGACATCCTACAGCACTTCTCTCCAGCTCATCCCAGCCATACACATGCTGCTCAGAGTTTTCCATGATGTTCAGGCACAGGGAATCTCTGGTGACAGCAACACACAAGCATTTGGAGTTTAAAGAGCAGGAGGGAGCCCATTAAATTCAGCAAAACCCAAGTACATGCCTCACCTGACTAAGCTGACCATGGACTCGGAGACATTGTGGCCCGAGGCAGCGCTGCATTCATAAAAGAGGAGCTGGTGCTCCTGGAAGACACAGAACCCAAATAGAAATGGAACATTCTGGAATAAGAATAGCTTAATATGGAGTAAATAGCTGAGGGACAGTCATGGTCAGGGGGAACAGGAAGGACTCGAGTTACTGAGTTGTTTCCTGGAAAAGGAGGGTGAAATCCAGCTTTTCTGGTAGCTACACCACCAAGTTTTAACACCAAGGAAGAGGCTGACACCACAGACAGAGCAAGACCTGATGCCCTCTGGTTAGTGGAGCAAATATGGAGATGTAACTAGATGCTTCCATGTCTTTTGTGCTTGCCAGTGACTGGTTTGGGGAAAAAAATTGCATCTAACTCCTTGTCCTGCTCTCTCCATTTGTAAAGATGGTCAGTGGATACTGGCCCACATCCCATAAGCTTTAAAATGAAGTTGGTAAAGGTCATAATCATACTTTAAGAGTTTCAGGAACTTGAAAGCAGGACAGGGCTTGGTGGTTTTATTATTTATATGATGCTGGGAAGACACGTGACATTTCACAGCTAAGATAAGCTGAGGTGAAGATGTTTTGATTTATACATCCAGTCACATGAACTGTTTTATTGGGGGACTGCCATGTCAAGACTCAAATGCCAAGGGGAAAGCAGGGCAGGGGAGGGTGGGAGATGGGCTCAGGGATCACTTTGCCAACCACTGATGCCCAAAAGACAAGTTGAGGGCTTTCACCTTTCCCCAGGTCCTCAGGCTGGTGGCATCCATCCTTAGCTGTCCTCACCTAACCTGGGGGGGCAGGAGGCTTTGGCAGGGCTGTGCACTCACCTTGGCCAGACGTTCCCCCTCCTTCGTGGGGACCTGTCTCTCTGCAGCACAGTCGGTTTTGTTCCCAAGAAGCAGAATAGTGACCCCATCTTCTGCTCCTTCCTGGGCAGTTAAAGAGGAGGGAATGAGCAGGGCACATCTGTACAGCTGGCCACACTCTCCACACACACCCTGGAGCTCCATGAGGGATGCCCAAGGATTTGGGCTGACAACAAAACCTTAAGTTCTTAAGCCAGTTTAACAGCATTTAAGAAAGAGATTTTTTTTCCCCCCATTAAATCATCTGTCCTGGTCTATTAACAGTGCAGAGAACTGGATGAGTTACTCTTGTAGTGAAGTCATTTTGTGTTTGACTCCAGGAAGCCTCCAGAAGATGCTCTGACTGGGATTTACAGGCATCAAGCAAGAGGATCTCTTATTTTGTTCCAGCATTTTTAAACACTGACTTTGTACTTGACTGGAAGCCTCTCACAAGAAGTTTTTAATAAGACAAGTTACCTCCCATTTCCCAGGAATTAAAGTGGACTACTCTTGATTTAAGTGTTTTCAGAATCACTTTCAACGTTTTCCATTCCTCTGCACCAGTTTTAAAAACATTGGTTGTTATCATTACAATGCTATCAACAAGTTACCCCAGGAAACACTGCAAAAATGGGAAAACTGGCAGTCTCATGAATTTAAAATCTACAAGAAGAATTATTTTCTAACCAAAGCAACGCAGACTAGGCTTGGAAATGGCCTCAAGTTGCACCAGGGGAGGTTGAGGTTGGACCTGAGGGAAAATGTCTTAATAGAAAGGGTTGTCCAGGGCTGGCCCAGTGGTGGAGTCCCCATCCCTGGAGGGGTTCCCAAGCCGTGGAGATATGGGGTGAGGGACACGGGGCAGTGGGGACCTGGCAGTGCTGGGGAAGGGTTGGACTCCATCTGAAAGGTCTCTTCCAACCAAACCAATTCTATGATACCCCCAGATACCCAACCCTAACCAGCAGCAGAAGCTGGAAGGAGGGGGAAATACTGACTCCCAGAACTCAGGGACAAGAAGGAGCCTCTGCTGCTTCACCCACCTGGATGCAGCTCAGCCAGTAGCACACGTCGGAGAAGGAGCTCTGGGAGGAGACATCGTACATCAGCACCACCCCCTCCGCCCTCCGGAAGAGCTGCCTGGTGAGGCTGCGGTACCTGCGGGCAGCCCAGGAGGTCACTGACAAAGCCTTAGGGGGTTTTGCCTAGGAGTGGTCTGAAATCCCCCCTGGGAAAGCTGGGAATAGGTCTACAAAAGAAGCAACCCCCAGGTTTTTGCTCTGCCCTGATCACAGAGGCTGTAGAAACAGCCCGAGTGCTTAATTTCATCTTAATTACTTCCTTTATTATGCTTTATCAGATCACACGCTGTACAGAGTTCTCAAACAACTCCTCCTCTGCTTAGCAAAGCCAAGAAGGTTCATTTCCACTGAAGCAGCAGCAAAATGAAAGCCAAAGGCTGCTCTCCTCCAGCAGAGAGCCCAGCACCTCACCTCTCCTGGCCAGCCGAGTCCCACAGACGGAGAGCAAAGCACTTGTTGTCCACCACGAAGGTCTTGATCTGATAATCCACTCCTAGGAGACACAAAAAGGGGTATTTTTAATACTGTAGACTTCATCCCTGCAGCAGAGGATGGATGGATGGAGAAGGTGGATGGTACAGGTGTGGTCTGAGGCTGCAGCTGAAGCAGGCTGGTCCCAAGTGAACCTCTGGGTGTTTTGATCTTTGATGGCTGGGTTTTGGGAAGTTCTTCAGTGACGATTAAAAAAAGGTTGGTTAAGAGAGGAGAATGGAGGTGAAAGGCAAAGCAAAGAGAAAAGCACTAGGGCCATTGATCTTGGGGTCCATCAATTACTCAGGAGCATCCAGGCCTGTGAAGCTGGTGATCCTATTTGGTCCCTGGTGCCAGGTTGTGCAGCACACTTGGCATGAGCTGTAACACGTGTGTGATCATCACCAGCAGCTTGTGGGGTGGAGGAGAAGGAGTTTGGAAGGTCGCCCAGGGGGGTGCAGAGCTGTGCTGGGGAGGGGCTGCGGGACACCCACCTACAGTGGCAGTGAGCTGTGGGTTGAAGGTGTCGGTGTGCAGCCGGTACAGGAACGAGGTTTTGCCCACGTTGGAGTCCCCAACAAACAGCACGTTGTAGAGATGGTCTGGCTCCAGGGAGGCTCCAGGAGAAACCCTTGGGGTAGCTCCTGCCCCACCTGTAGTCATGGCCCCTGGTTTTCCTGGGTTGGACTTGCCTTCCTGGCTGGTTTTCTGCCCAGCTTGCTGCTTCTCCTGCTGACCAACGTTGAGGTCCTTGCTCTGCTCTTCCCAGAGCTGACTTTGAGGCTGTGTGCTGCTGTTGGCTGCAGCCACCAGTGAGCTGTCACCAAGGACCACCCCTGACAGATCATTCCCAGCATCCTCCTCCTCAGGGACACATGTGTGAAGGGTGGATGCTGGTGGCAGCTCTAGTTTTGGAGGCTCAGCAAGTCCTGCAGTTATCTGCTCTGCTTCCATCACATGTGGTGGCTTCTCCTCTGGTTGCTGGGAAGCAGTGGGAAGCATCATCTTATCTGCCTGTGCTGAGACCTGCTCCTGGAGCTCCCTTTGGGCTGCCTGCCCTGGAGCACCTAGCTGCTGCACATCTGGAACGAGAACATCCTCCTGCTTCATCATCTCCAGCTTCAACGTGCTGATCTGAAACATCACCTCGGAGACCAGGGGTGGCAGCTCAGACCCACCCTCATCACAGCCCTGCTTTCTCCCTAGGCCCTGGGGTTCAACCAAACCCCCCATCCCTGCCTCCAGCCTCTCTCCCTGCACCACTCCCAGACCTTGAGCTCCATCCAAAGGCCTCTCCCCTGCAGCAGCCTGCTCTTGCTGGGGTATCTCCAGTGTCTGGGCACCCTCCAGGATCTGCCCCTCTGGACCAGTGAGTGCTCTGAGCTTTGCTCCCAGAGCAGGGCCCTCAGCAGCAGTGGCACAGGCTGGCTGTAAGGTGACCTCAGCCAGAGGGGACAAGTGGGCACCAGCAGCCCCCTCCCGTGGGCCCGTGGCACTGGCTGCACACAGAGCTGCCTCTGAACCCAGGGACGGGCTCTGCTCCCCTTCCCACAGCCCAGCTGCACCCAGGGGGGGCAGATCTGCCCCCGTGCTCCCTCCTGGGGTCAGCTCAACCTCATCCATCTCTGCAAGCAGCTGCACATCAGCAGCAGTGCCCTGGCCCTCCAGCACATCCAGGATTTCAGCCTCCTCCCCTGGCTGCAGTCTGGTCCCCTGCCCCCCTCCTGCTCCCTGCCAATCCAGCACAGGCTCCTGGGGCAGCTCACCCCCCTCCTGCCCTTCTGCCCCATCCTCAGCCTCCTCCTCCAGCTGTATGGCTGCACAGTGCTCACCTCCACGAGGGTGTCCTGGGCTGGCAACCCCACGCAGCTCTGTGTCTGCCCAGGAGTCCTCTGCCCCCAATGCCACTGCCCATAGTTTATCAACCTGGGCCAGGGCTTGCACATCTTGAGCTATGTCTAGGGAGCCAGCCTTGCTCGAAAGCTTCAGATCTGCCTCTGTGCTCCCTCCTGGGATCAGTTCAACCTCATCCACCTCTGGAAGTGGCTCC